TTCGCGAGATATTAGAGTTAGTACACGAGTTAGCAGGCAAACCGAGCTCACCGATCTCCAGACGCGTCAACTCATCTCACGAACCGAACTCACCGATCTCCAGACGCGACAACTCGCCACACGTACCGAGTTGGCAAATGAACCGAGTTGACACGTGAGCCTGAGACATTGCCATCGGCATCAGGTCTTTCGTATTTCGACGGCGCAATGCTAGTTTGGGCCCCGGCCCTCATTTTTGCAAATGTGTTCGTAGTTCATCATTACAAAAGTCGTAACGTTTATGTATTTTCTTTCGAATAATAAGTCCATGTCAATTTCGTTCAAGTCATATGTTTATGATATTAGTTATTAGAATATTACTTTTAATTAAGTAACTATTGGTTCATGGATTATAATATTATATACCTGTATAAGCGCTGACCACAATTCATTTTCGAAATGTGCGACATGTGCAAATGTGGACAGCTCTTATAACCATGGGCCAAGTCCAATGTAAATGATGGACTTATTATTAACGCTGTGGATTCTCAACGAGTAACCAGTCGCTCAATTTTCCAGGCTCAACGCCCGTACACATCTAGCGGAGGGAAGTCTAACTAAACTAGGGGTGGGTGCTAGTGCTACTTCTAGAGCTAGGTCTAAACAGACGGTGGCCTACTTAGGTTAGGCTACTAAAATCACTATAACAGCCCTTGACACTATCGGTTTTCCAATTTCCCGGTACAAGTGAAAGTCTACGTTGAACAAGTTATTCACTTGGCTAGTTGCCCGATCAGACAACTAAAAAATTTCCAGTTGTGTAAAATTCCTAACATCCTTTGAGTCAGGGCGTTATCGCATGACATTTCTCACGTTATATTTTCGAAAGTCGCCGAATAAAAGCAGCCCGCGACACCCGTGTCTGTGGCTGTGCACATCGTGGCTGCGTACGTGCCTGCTGGCTGGAGCGGCATTGATTGAAGTATGGGGGGGGGGGTGAACCGATTGTTTCAGTCGCGTGGGGCATGTTCATTACTGAATATTTAGGGAGGTGGGCATGCATGCACCGCTGGTATGAGAGAGCGACATCAAAACTCTTTTCCTGGAATTGAGGAAAAAAGGTGCAATCGGCATGCAAAAATAAACGTGTTAATTTTTTTACGATTTTCCATGTATATACTATAATATGATATGCACTGAACTAAAAATGTACCTTAACGGCTCTAGATTGCAAGTATATTTTGGGCAAGTAAAAATTGCTTCTTGTTGCCTGAAAGGACAACCAGATCTGAAAATAAGCATTGAGGTCTGTATAACTGCCGTTAAATGTACTGTTTAAACCAGTTTTATTACTGGTACACAATAATTAATAGCATAACAAAAAATATGTTGATAGTTTTCTGATGAAACAACAAATTGACTTGGCAACACCACCACGATAGCAACTAGCGTGCTGTATGCGAGGGAAGCTCCCAGTTGATGTTGGGTGTCACTTTCCCCTGGGCGTAGATGGACAAGATGGCGTGGATGGTGTAGATCATACTAGAATCTAGATGCTTCAAAGTCCAAATCTTCCACAGAAAGATTCCACAGTCATACTTCTGTGCTAGACACGGCCTTATTTACCTAACCCTAACCCTAACCCTAACCTTAACACAAGTGCAGCCACATCACATGACCGTCCATCTACGCCTGGGGGAAAGTGTTTCCCATTGATGTTGATGTGTTGACGACAACGATCCGTTCAGCGATTCTAGCAGGATTTCGCGCTTTTCACGATAACTGGTCATTTAGCCACAGCCTATTATTAATTCCTTGTTCCATTGTGTCCATATCAGATATCTTATTATCTTGCTCTTAAATAATTTAATACTGTGTTTAGTATACATCAGTAACATGTAGTTTACAGAAAAAAATTTTTTAGTGGCTGTATGTGACTTAGTTTGTCAACATTGAACAATTGAATTTGTAGACAAGGGCGTATCCCGGACTGGGTGCGATAGCTGATGATAACATTACTGTGCAAACAGACAACGTATTTGAACTTGGGTATAGACTTTAGCACATCCTGTATGTTAGCCACAAGTTACCTTCTCCCTTCTCATTGCATGGCGAGTAGTGACTCCTATGACGATGAAGGAGTCTCTTACGACGTGAAACACTTGTAGAGCCTGGTCGGTTACCTGTATAATATCAGGAGTTAATAATGACAAATAATTTATCATTATTAACTCCTGATAATATATACTTTATCAACACCCATCATAATCATCATCACTACCACCTAACCTAGTTCTAAGCCTAAGCCTAAGCCATTGACTGTAGCGTTATCATACCGTTTGTGTGCATGTACACATTTACATACATCCGGGAGTGAATAACAACGTTTGTGTTTTCATGTTAATAAGGTATAGGTAAATCTATAACCTACTGGTGTAGGTACTGGAATAGTCGCTATAGTTTTCAAGATGGGTAGAGGGTGCGCTCGCGAAGTAGATTCAACCGACACAGATACTGCTGATGAGGAAGGAAAATATGGTAAGCCTATTATCTTGCATGGGGTGTTTTTAACATTATACTGATAGGCCAACCCTTCCAAACTGTAGATTTGACCATAAAAATAATAAGGAACTACATTATTTGTAGGACCAGGAATAGTTATGTTTCATATTTCTAATTGTTTTCCATCGTCATTTTTAGCATTGCTTTATTATCCGAAGTTCAATTCTCATTAGCATAATTAAGATCCCACTGATCAAATTCCATGAGAACATTTCAAATTTATATTTTTTGGTTTAGTAGTTCATTGCATAATTGTTGTCACTGCATACATGCTCCATATACTATTGTTCTTTCATTCTGTCCTGATTTTCAAATAGTTTAATTGCTAAAAATTGCAGCAGGGTTGCGTGCAGCAATGACGCATTTTTGTTCAATATATACAAGTTTAGGAATACACGTTTTAGGTGAACCTGTAAAGTTTGATCCCACTTTTCATGGACCAATTAAAAATAGGTAATTTCTTTATATTTGTAAATGTCATGTCTGACTCTGGCTATATTTCTATGTTTTGTATGTAATAAAGTATTCTGCAACCTGAACTTATGATACATGGAAAGCATTATTAATGCTGTGTTATCCCTGCTAATATTAGTGCAAATTATTTATATTAAATCAGTCTGTGAGATGTCATGTTTACTGGGAACAAATCAAGATGCAATTTTGCCATTTATTTGTTTATAGGAGTTGTACAGACGTGATATGCTGCTTCCTATTTGCCTGTTGCATTGTTGGATGGATTACTATCGGTGTTTTAGGTAAATTTACAATGTAAGGTAGAAAACATTCCAACAACTTTCACCTCTTTTGTGTAAAATGTGGAAAAGTTGCGTGTTATTTACGTAAATAATTTACTAATATAAATTGATGAAACCCTATTACAGAGATGTAAACTCAATCAATAAGTTTTATGTTATATACAAATATTTTAAAATTTATTCATTTGTGTTTGTAGCTTTCCTGCAAGGTGATCCGCAAACACTTATTTACCCTACTGACAGTTTAGGGAATGTGTGTGGGTTGCAAGGAGGTGCATATGAGTAAGTAACGTTTATTATTACTGAAATTAAGACTAAGACAAAGATGAAACTAAAGGGCCGGACACACCAGGCGATTGCATCGGGCGATGGCATCGCCCGATGGCATCGTGCAGTCGTGGACACACCAGGCGATTGCATCGGGCGATGGCATCGCCCGATGGCATCGTGCAGTCGTGGACACACCAGGCGATTGCATCGGGCGATGGCATCGCCCGATGGCATCGTGCAGTCGTGGACACACCAGGCGATTGCATCGGGCGATGGCATC